ATTTTGGTCAAATTCGAAGTGCAATTTACTTCATATGAGTTGTGAACTGATTTTCATAATGTAAGAGCGTAGGGATAGCTCCGAATCGCCTAAACGGTTTTGGGCATATCAAAAATGATATATTGAACAATAGTAATTGCTTCGCAATGACCGTTTCTCATTTGTTTTTGGTATTTTAGGGCCATAACATAGGAATTTAGGTTGATTTCAAAATTTTTAAATGCTAGTGTTCATGCAAACTTTATGAAATCGGTGCGAATCCCCTAAAATTTTTGTAGGCCCACTAGAAACAACCTAATATGTTTTTTTCTTTTTGATGAAATATTGAGAATGCAAACCGTTAATTGATTACCAAACGGAATTGCGAAGGAAAATTATTGTATAAGTAGTATATGGTTCAGAAGATACGAACTCTTCACGCTTCTTTAAGCTACGACAACAAATTATCCAGTTATCTAGTTAAAGATCAACTGTAACCAAAGGAAAAGCTAAGAAAATTGCAAGGGCCGTTGAATAAGAAAAATCGTGTTCAATTTATTTATTTATTTTGGTCAAATTCGAAGTGCAGTTTACCATATACTGAGTTGGGAACTCATTTTCACAATGTAAGAACGCAGGGATTAAGCCATGATTTGAAACTTATGAGTTCGGAATTTTAGTCATCTTAAGTTATTAGACTCTAAATTAATAATATGTACGTATTCAATAAAGTTTTTAAGAGCAATATAGAGTTTGGACCACAATGCGATTTGAGGCCTCGGCAGGTCTGCGTTATGTTATGCAACTTGTTGGTATGTTTAGACGAGGTTCCAGGGGCCTCGGGTGTGTTTCGGATGGGCTACAAGCCATTTCTTCATGCTTTAGAGTTGCTGGTTTCTAGTGTGCCTATTGTTCTTTGAGATCGCGAAGTGTTTTTGGGAAATCAGTGATTTGTTCATCGCGGACGCGATGATGGTCATACATTTGCGAAGCGTATGCAGCTATTTGTCCGCGTTCGCACCCGTCTCTCCTCGTTCGCGTAGTGGAGCTGGGAGCTAGTGGTGTTTCACTCATCGCCTTCGCGTGTCTCTATGTGCATTTGTGTAGTTTGTTGTCATTATTCATCACGTTCGCGAGGTGTGTGCCGCAAATGCGAAGCTTTATTTTTTCCGGGCAGCATTTAGTTCTTCTTGATCGCGAGGGTTATTCCGCGATCAAGTAAGAGGAATCACTAGGGCATATTATAAGAACTCTATTTCGAGGGCTTTTGTTATTTTATCACTTTTTGAGTTAGAGAGCTCGAATTTGAGCGATTTTTGAGGGGTTATTCACGTGTTGGATTGTATTAATTGTTCTTTACCTGGAATTGATTATATTTCATGATTCCATAATTATTTTTATCATTAAATTAGTGATTTGAATTGGAGAAAAATGGGAATTTGATGAAAACTTTCAAAAATGTAAAATGATGAGTTGAAGGATGAATTGATGTTGGAATTGGATAAATTTGGTATGGTTGGACTCGTATCGGAATGGGTGTAAGGATTTTATGAATTTTATCATGTTCCGAGGTGCGGGCCTTTTGGGTAGACTTTTTAGTTTTCATTAAATATCAAAGCTTTATTATCTAGAATTATTTTCTATGGTTTTTATTTATGATATTAAGTTATTTTGGCTAGATTTGAGCCGTCTGGAAATTGTTTCATACAAGAAGGTCATTTTAGAGTATCGGTCTAGCTTATTTGAGGTAAGTATCTTACCTAACTTTGTCTGGAGGAATTACCCCTTAGGACTTAAGTTGTTTGTGCTATTTGTATCATGTGAAATCCGTGTACGCGAGGTGACGAGTATGTACTCGGGATTATATATGGAAATTGACCAGTCTAGACTCTTAAGCATCTTTTATGTACTTATTTTGAATTGTTAGCACATGTTATATCTTTTATTCGTCATGTCTACTATCATATGCTTTATTGGAAGTTGTCGTTACGTGCCACATTTTTTACTTGCCGAGTTTGCTCTTATATGCTTTATTTGGAGATGTTATCACTTTGTGTCATTATGCGATTTCTTTTATTGTGGAGCTACTCTAAGTTGAAATTGTCATCACATGATATCCTTTGTTAATGGGTTGTTCTAATGTATTTAGACGTTGCACTAGTTCGTTCTATCTCCTAAATTGTTAGCCTAATTCATAGTCTGAAGTTTGTCATTTCATGGAAGTACATTCACGATCAAGGTTATCTTTAAATAATTAATTGGAATTGAAGTTATCGAGATTCATTAATCTATTCTAATTGAAGTTGTACTTAAAGGGGATGTTGTTTTTTGTTAAGTTACTTTTCTGTTCATTTTGTTTTTATTGAGATTCTATATATGTTGTGCTGAGCCGCGAGCTATTTGCAGTGAAAATATTGATATCGTTGAATCTTTGGAAAGGTTGTGGTCTACGACACTTGTGATACGAGTTGATATGTTGTGATGATAGCACATGTGAATTGTTGTGTGGTTTGGTTGTTGTTATGTAGAGTATAAGGGTAGCATCTCACTGTTGTTAAAAATATGGAGTGATACGGCTGGCTATTTTATTATTGTCCTAGCGGTGATATGGGTGGCTATTATATAGAGTGATACGGGTAGATATATGAGAGATAAAGGTGATTATTATACGGAGTAATACATGTGGTTATAAGAGAGATAAGGGTGACAATGTCAGGGATGATGTGTGATGGTTGGAGACATTGTGTTTGGTGATTTTCGTGTGATGGTGTACTTTTCCTTGTATTTGTCATACACCTCGCATGACTTGCTTTGTTGTTTTGATAAGCTATTCGATGTCTTTGATATTACTTGATGACTTGGACTACACTAGTACACTCACACAAGCATACACCATAGCATGCCACTTATACTAGCTCAGGAGTATGAAACTTGACATTTATTACTCATACCCATGTGTTCTTGTATTATCTGTTTCCATGTTGATATTGAGCCTTTGACCATGCCAGGTGGATTGTGATTTGTTAGCCTGAAATCATATCGCGCGGATTGTGATTGTGAGCCTGTGACCATGTTGAGCGGATTGTGAATGTGAACTTATCATCATGCTGGGCGGATTGAGATTTTGGCACGTTAGTTGTCCGAGCTATTGTGATGCGAGATGTGGGCACGAGGTGCCGTGAGTATATGATGGTGGGTTCAGACCCGTGACTTGTGACTATGAGATGAAGTAGCACAGAGTGATTACGTTGTGAAACTTGTGTTCGAACGGCTTGATTAATTGATTGTCCTTTGTGTTTCCATATTTGGTTTTAATGATACTTCATGGTGTTCTTATTGCTTTACTGATTATATCACTTATTGGTTCTTATTGACATTTACTCATTTTCGCTTTCCGTTATTAGTTTTAAAATTTTATACTGTATAGGTTATTTTTTTAGTGAGTGTCTTGACTTGTACCTCATAACTACTCCACCGAGGTTTGTCTTGATACTCACTGGGTACCGACCGCGGTATACTCATTCTATACTTCTGCATATTTTTATACAGATTCAGGTACTTCGGAATCTGTTGGTTGTTAGATAGCGGATTAAAAAGTGCTGTTGAGAATTCAAGGTACACCTGTCGTCGCGTTCGCAGGCCTCAGAGTCGCCTTCGGAAGTTATTTTTGTACAGTTTATTTCTATTCCGGAACAATTATACTTAGAGATTTTTTAGCGAACTCAGTTGAGCTTATGACTTGTACTACCGGTTTTATGATTTTTTGTTTTGTATAAAAATTTTCGTTTTATATTTAATAGTTGTTGGTTGAACTTTGCCATTAATTCAGTAAGTATTAGGCTTACCTAATATTAAAGACTAGGTGTCATCACGATATCCCACAGAGAGAAATTGGGGTCGTGACACTACCCTAATTTTGTGGGCCCATCAGAAACGACCTATTGAGCAATAATCATTGCTTCTCTATATTTTTACTCATTTTTTGGCCTTTTAGGACCATAAAATAGGAATTCGACACGATTTCTGATTTTTCGTGTGCTAATGCCCACGCTATCTTCCTAAATTCAGGTGACCGTTCCCGAACCGCCTAAAATTATGTAGGCCCATCAGAAACGACCTAATAAACAGTACTCATTGCTTCTCTATGGCTGTTCCTCGTTTTTTCCGTTTTAGGGCCATAAAACAGAAATTCAGGATGATTTCTGATTTTCGTGTGCTAATGTTTACAAATTTTCATGAATCTGGGCGACGTGTTCCGAATCGCCTAAAATTTCGTGGGCTCATAAAAATGAGCTAATGAACAATAGTCATCATTTTTTCATGACTGTTCCTTATTTATTTGTATTTTAGGGCCACAAAATAGGAATCCATCACGATTTTCAATTTTTCGTGTGCTAATGTCCACGACATCTTCATGAATTTGGGCGACGGGCTCGGAATCGCCTAAACTTTTGTGGGCTTATCAAAAATGACCTAATGAACAATAATTATCACTTATCTATGATCTTTCCTCGTTTTTTGGCACTTTAGGGCCATAAAAAAGAAATCCATGATGATTTCCAATTTTTTGTGTGATAATGTTTACGCCATCTTTATGAATTCAGGTGATGGGCTCTGAATCGCCTAAAAATTTTTGGGGCCCATTAAAATTGATCTATTAAACAATAGCCATGATTTTCCATGACCGTTCCAATTTTTTGTGTGCTAATTTCCACGTCATCCTCATGAATTTGGGCGACGAACTCCATATCGCCTAAAGTTTTTTGTGCCTATCAGAAACGACCTCATGAAAAATAGTTATCGCTTCGCCATGACCGTTCCCAAATTTTTGGCATTTTAGGTCCATTAAAGAGAAATTCAATTTAAAAATATGGTTCAATTTATTTATTTATTTTGGTCAAATTCGAAGTGCAATTTACTTCATATGAGTTGTGAACTGATTTTCATAATGTAAGAGCGCAGGGATAGCTCTGAATCGCCTAAACGTTTATGGGCATATCAGAAATGATATATTTAACAATAGTAATTGCTTCGCAATGACCGTTTCTCATTTGTTCTTGACATTTTAGGGCATAACATAGGAATTTAGGTTGATTTCAAATTTTTCGTGTGCTAGTGTTCATGCAATCTTTATGAAATCAGTACGATTTCCATCAACCTCATTTCGACTTCACCATCGTCTCCTAAGTTGTTGAAAAACTCACCAAGCTTGATTTCTAACCAGCCATCACTTCGAAGATGTGGAAACCGGCCAAGTTCTCCTGGTAATTCCTTTTTCTTCGAGATGAAAACAGTGGTACCCTCAATGCGTGCGTCCTTTGCCACCTCCTTCACAAATCTTAGCGATGCAATGGATCGTTCAAGTCCACGAGGGTTATCTGTTAACTTGAACACTAAATATACTGCATAACTAGTCGTTTGAATAAGATTTTTTGTCTCTATCTTTCCATAAATGTCAAGCCAATTTACGCTACGAAGCTCCGCCACTTCAATACTGTACAAAATGTTGAGATGTAAGTAATTAAAATATATATTTCTCTTTTTAATGAAATTTAGAGAGAGATAGAGAGACAAACTTAGGATCAACAGTTTTCCATGTCCAGAACTGAGGATTGTTCACCCATGTAATTGTAAGGTCTCTTGCCGCTATCCACTGGCCTTGCTGATTAAATACAATATGTAGAACAATATATTAGGGTTCCTTAACATTTGATGAGTTGTTAAACACAAGAAGAGTAAGAATATATCAACGAGAAGAATAACTTACCATCTTTCTTTTATTGCTATGTATGATATGATGCTCTTTATATCTTTTTAGTTGGCTCCACTCCCTTTTGCTTCGTCCTCATATTTATAGAGCATTATTGGACTCCAAAATTTGTCACCATATATAGTACTACTATAGTAGGTAGGTTTAACTAGAATAAATGTTTTTTTTAAAAAACTTGAATGTTAAAAACGTGTCTATTGGCAAAACCCTTAATGTTGTCTTTTTAGGAACAGACAAGTTACTCCAAAAATTTGTCACAATAGAGTGATAACATAAGTGTTTTTTTTTATTGGAGAAAACGTGTCTATTGACAATCCATTATTAGAAGCAGCAGAGTAGGTTTGCACATTTTAGGACCATTTGGACCATTCAAGAAGAAAACATGACTGATATTAAACCTCTTCTTTCACGAGTCACGAGAGGAGTAGAGCTCTGGTAAATTTCAAATTTGTGTTTGTATTATAGGAAATTGAACAAGTTTGCTCCCGATTAAATTTTTGGCTTAACATTACCTTGTTGTTAGGGAAAAAAAATATTTTTCTATTGGCTTCACGGAGCTCCAACCTCAGAATACTTTTAAATCATAAAGTAATGGGTAAATTTAGTCCGTTTTGTTTTGGAGAATTTTGATATGTGACGTCTACATATTTCATATTAGAGCTTAGTTCATGGTAAAGGCAATACAAGCCAATTTGCTAAATTTGACAACAAAGGATCCTAAGCATACATCCTAGTCTGCTGCCAAATAAAAGAGCATTTATTCTTGTTATACTAACTAGGTTAAGTTGGGCTCAGGTTAAATGGATGAACTTGTTTATCCGTAAAACGGTACAGTTGATTTTATTAGTGGTTTCTAGATAAGTGAATTAATTTGATCCGAAAAGTAATAAAATAACTGATGAAATATAAAATACTTAGCCTTAGAATGTAGATGGAACAACAGAGCTGATGTGTCCGGGAACAGGGTTCTCGGGCACAGCAATGATAAGATCAAAAGCGAGAGAATAAAATTATATTAAAATGCTGTATAGAATGTTGTATACAATGTAGTATTAAAATGCACTTTTCACATTTTCGTACTAGTGATGCAAGTCTTTAGCATCTTGTTCCATACGGGGCCAGTGATACCCTGCCCGAACTAATTTTAGCACCAAAGAATCTGCACCTGAGTGGTTGCCGCATATCCCTTCGTGTACTTATCTCATGACATAGTTAGCTTCTGATGCTCTTAAGCATCGGGCCAACGGGCCTTGAAAGGATTTTCTGTATAATTGTCCTTTCTTGAAGCTATAACGTGCAACTTTGGAGCACAACGCTCTTGATGCTTTGGGACCTTCGGGCAACTTTCCACGCTCCGGGTTGTCACGCTTGCGAGGTTGAATCTGGCGACTAGTTTAATTGTCGGGATAATGCTTCCAGTCAGTTTAGCTTGCTCTAGTACTCTACATTGTATGATATTAGCTGAACTTCTTGGATCCACTAAAACACGTTTAATTTTAAAATCTAACACACTTAAAGAAATTATTAGTGCGTCATTGTGCGACAGTAGTAATCCGTCCACATCTTCGTCCGTGAATCTGATATCGTCTTCCCAGAGCCTCTTACTATGAGTTATCGATACTTTTATCTTCTTCGCTGCTGAAAAGGTGACCCCGTTAAGTTATTTTGGGTAGATTTAAGTCGTTCGAAGGTTTTTTCATACGAGAAGGTCATTTTAGAATATCGGTGTAGCTTCTTTGAGGTAAGTATCTTGCCTAACTTTGTGTGGGGGAACTATCCCTTAGGACTTGAGTCGTATTTTCTATTTGTGTCATGTGAAAGCAGTGTACGCGAGGTGACGAGTACGTACTCGGTCTTATATGTGAAAATTGACCGGTTTAGACTCTTAAGCATCTTTTATGTACTTATTTTAAATTGTTAGAACATGTTATATCCTTTATTTGTCATGTCTACTATCACATGCTTTATTGGAAGTTGTCGTTACATGTTACATTCTTTACTTGGTGAGTTTGCTCTTATATGATTTATTTGGAGTTGTTATCACTTTGTGTCATTATGTGATTTTTTTATTGTGGAGCTACTCTTAGTTGAAATTGTCATCACATGATATCCTTTGTTGCTGGTTGTTCTCATGCATTTAGATGTAGTACTAGTTCGTGCCATCTCATTCATTATTAGCCTAATTCATACACTAGAGTCTGAAGTTTGCCATTTCATGGAAGTACTTTCACTATCGAGGTTATCCTTTAACAATTAATTGGAATTGAAGTTATCGAGAGTCATTAATCTATTCTAATTGAAGTTTTGTTTAAAAGGAGTGTTGTTCTTTGTTGAGTAACTTTTCCATTCATTTTGTTGCTATTGAGATTCTATATACGTTGTGCTGAGTCATGGGCTATTTGTTGTGAAAATATTGATATTGTTGAATCTTCGGAAATGTTGTGGCCAACGGACACTTGTGATACGATTTGATATGTTGTATTTTTGAGATGATAGCATATGGGAATTGTTGTGTGGTTTGGTTATTGTTATGCGGAGTATAAGGGTGGCATTTCACCTTTGTTGTTATACGGAGTATAAGGGTGGCATTTCACCTTTGTTGTTATACGGAGTATAAGGGTGGCATTTCACCGTTGTTGTTATATGGAGTATAAGGGTGGCATTTCACCGTTGTTGTTATGCAGGGCATAAGGGTGGCATCTCACTGTTGTTGAATGTACGGAGTGATACGGATGGCTATTGTGTTATTGGCTGGGCGGAGTGATACGGGTGGCTATTATACAGATTGATACGGGTGGCTATAGCAGAGATAACGGTGGAAATGTCAAGGATGATGTGTGATGGTTGGAGACATTGTGTTGGTATGTTTTTCCTGGTGTTTGTCATACGCCTTTCATGACTTGCTTTGTTGTTTCGATTTTCCTGGTGTTTGTCATACACCTTTGATGACTTTCTTTGTTGTTTCGATGAGCTATTAAATGTCTTTGATATTACTTTTTGACTTGGGCTGTAGTAGAACACTCGCACAAGCATACACTATAGCATGCCACTTATACTAGCTCAGGAGTATGAAACTTGACATTTATTTATCATGCACATGTGTTCTTGTGTTATTTGTTTCCATGTTGATATTGAGCCTTTGAACATGCCAGGCGGATTGTGATTTGTGAGCCTGTGATCATACCGGGTAGATTGTGGATGTGAGCTTGAGATCATACCAGGCGGATTGTGATTGTGAGCTTGTGACCATGCAGGGCAGATTGTGAATGTGGGCCTGTAATCATGCCGGGCGGACTAAGATTTTGGAACATGAGTTGTCCATGCGGTTGTGATGCAAGATGTGGGCACGAAGTGTCGTGAGTATATGATGGTGGGTTGAGACCCGTGACTTGTGGCTATGAGATGAAGTACCAAAGAGTGATTTCGTTGCGAAACTTGTGTTACAACTGCTTGATTAACTGATCATTAGTGTTTCATTAGTTGGTTTTAATGATACTTCATGGTGTTCTCATTGATTATCTATTTATATCACTTGTTGGTTCTTGGTTCCATTTACCGATTTTCGCTTTCCGTTATTAGTTTTATACTTCTATACTACACATGCTATTTTGTCTAGTGAGTGTCTTGACTTGTACCTCGTTACTACTCCACCGAGGTTAGTCTTGATACTTACTGGGGTACCAACCGTGGTGTACTCATATTACACTTTTGCACATTTTTGTGCAGATGTAGCTACTTCAGAGTCTGTTGATTGTTAGATAGCAGATCAGATATTGCAATGGAGACTTCAAGGTACACCCTCCGTCGCGTTCGCAGGCATCGGAGTCACCTTCGGAAATTATTTTTGTACAGTTTATTTCTATTTTGGAACAGTTATACTTATAGATTTTCTAGTAAACTCAATAGAGATTATGACTCAATTCAGTAACTGTTAGGCTTACTTAGTGTTAAAGACTTGGTGTCATCACGACATCCCACAAATGAAAATTAGGATCGTGAGAAGTTGGTATCAAAGATCTATGTTAATAGGAGCTACGGGTCATAAGCGGGTTTAGTAGAGTCTTATGGATCGGTACGGAGACGTATGTACTAATCTTTGAGACGCTACGAAACTATTAGGAAAAATCTTCACTTCTTTAATTCATGTCGTGCGGATTTGTTGATTTTAAAGTTTGAGCCTTTGTATCTTTATTCTCTCACATATGGTGAGGACATGTGCTATCGGATCAGCTGAGTAGACACCCACACCCCCTGATAGAGCCGCGAGAGGCCGGGGCTGAGGTAGAGGCCGAGGAGGGGAACACGACGCAACTAGAGCACTTGTCAGAGCAGCAGTTGAAGAGCCACGGTAGTTCTTGTTGGAGGACAGGCACAAGAGGCGCCTGTTGTTAAACCTATACTTCAGGAGGTTTTAGCGAAGTTCCTGAGCATGTTGGTACATTGGTTGGGGCGGGATTGATCTCTGTTTCCCCAGCTACTTCGTAGGTTTGGGGGATGAGCTTAGACTCCCACCGCCCATACGCCATAGCAGCAGGCTCACATTGGTCGAGTTACAGGTGTGGTGCCAGTACAACCTGTTATTCCGGTTTAGCCTGAGGTCAGGCCAGGGGCATTAGAGGAGGAGAAACATAGACTTGCGAGGTTCAAGAAGTATCACCCTCCTACTTTCAATGCTTTGTCTTCAGAGGATGCACAAGGTTTTCTAGAGGAGTGTCATCGTATTCTCTGCACCATGGGTATTGTGGAGGGGAGTGGGGTTGAATTTACTACATTCCAGTTGTCAGGGTAGCGTATCAGTGGTGGCGGGTTTACGATGAGGGTAGCCCAGCTGATGCAGTTTCACTTTCATGGACTTCATTTTCAAAATTGTTCTTGAGAGAATTTGTTCCCCAGACCCTTCAGGATACATGGCAGAGGATTATACTCTTCAGTTATGGCCCATCATGGTGGAGGCTCGGGCAGTCGACCTGTTTAGTCCACACTCCAGACTACTGGTGTTGCTCCAGTTAGTCAAGGTACTCATGTGGAGCAGTGATCGGCATGGGATTCCTACAACGGTTATTCCAGT